AACATAGCATTTAGATCTATAATTATGAAGAGATAAAAAGCAGAGTCTTAAATTGTTCCTGTAGCTTTTTGTATATTCCCATTCTGTCGGCATTAGGGACCAACTGAAATCAGAGTGTGTAGAATGTATGAGTGATTCATTAGGTAAATGGCTGGTATGTGGTGATATTGTTTTTCATGGACAAGATGCAGATTTCATGTATATTTTGATATTAGATCAATTCTTGCCTGGTTTTCTATCGCACATCACTAGTTTCCGTTGAAGCTTTCTCACTTCCTCGTCCAACAGGTCTGGGGAGTCTGGAAATTATTGTAGGTGAGAGAAATAGAGAATGCATGAATTTTGGCCTATTTGGAATATTTTAAGGTAATTCTTTACAGTATGGATGTGCTTGCTAGAGAATACGTTCCCAACTCCACGTCAAAAAATATATTTGTCAATCTAAATTGCCGTGACTGGGCGTGCCAAACTACCCGAAGGGAGGGTTGATGGGGGCCAGGAAATATTTGTCTTCACCTCGGTATGCATGGCACGATGAGAGTTGAAACTTGTGAATGTCGAGTGTACTTAGGCTGAGGGCGGTGCTTTCTGCCATCTTTTTCCTTTATTTGTGGTGTTACCATTCATGTCTCCAGATTATTTCTTGTAGTGACTACTGCAACTTTTTGTCCTCTATATGAATTTCATATTCAATTTGGCCTAACTTAGTGCATCCATACTGTAACAAATTAACCTATTTTAGAATGAAACAATGTAAAAAGAGTGCATTTTAAAAATATATCAAGACACGTTAAACCTTGTGTCTGTAGATGCCTCTGTCTATATTTGGCATGTAGTATATATTGCCAGGCTAGAGGGGGGACAGGTTATATATGTAACAATTTATCTCCAGGATGCATTGTCAATATATAGGCTGTTACAACCAACTTTTTATGTTTTGCAAAGGTATAATGAGAAGACGAGAGATAATCTTGACTCTTATGCTACTATTCAACTTTACTCAAAGCATTCATAAACCTTGAATATTTTTTCCATGGTTATTCATGTACGTATGCAAAGGAATATCAATGGGTAATTCTTTACAGTATAGATGGACTGTCTGAGACTAAGTCCCTAGCTCCATGTCAAAATTGATTAAGCAGTTCAAGTTCCTGTGATTGAGTGTGTCCTTCAACCACTGTCCGAGGGGAGGGTTTATGAGGGACTTTGCGTGCTAACACCTCTAACAATAATTTTCACCTTAGTATGCGCGACCATTCATTGTTGTAATATAAAAAAGAAATGGTAATGATACAAGGGATACTCGTTATTTGTTGCCCCCCATTATTTGTCTTGTCACTTATTTGCCATTGATGTTTTGTGGATGCATCATTAATCTCTTTTTTGTCAAGTTACAGAAAGGTTTTATACATGTATGCAAACATGTAAGAAATTATTAAAGAGAAAAAGAAAGCTACATTGTAAGATAGAATAAAGATGAAATAAGAATACGTATAGATGTATCAAAAATTAAAGATTTGTGTGCGCTGTTAGCAAGAATTACAGTATGCATAAGCATTACATATCTACCTTCAAGCCTCAGCAACAGGCTGATGCTGCCACCCCACTGTACTCATAGGCTCTGCTGCCTCCCTGACTCAATAATGGGTAATGGCTGACACAAAACCATCTAAAGTTAAGCATCAATGTAAAGTATTGATGCTAAGTAAAATAGAAATAATAAAGAGTAATGAAAGCGGCAATCTAATATTAGTCGCCAGAGAGGATCATTGAGCTTTTGATTTTTCAGTGAATTTTTAAAAAGTATAGAACCATTTGAGAAATTTCTCCGCCATTCTAACAGCATTCACTAAACTCGTGCCAGAGTTTCATAGAAAAATAGACGAAAATAAAGATGCTATGAGTAGTTTCCTGACCCTGTCCACCTTACCGATAGATAATGTGTTTATTGGGATGGTTTACTTATACATATATTTTTCTTGGAAGTTTTGTTTGGCCAAAAGAAATCAGAAATGCAATATCACCTAGCATTAACCATTAACGAGGTTGCAGCTTTATTCTTGTATATATAGATATATACAATCGGGACTCATTAAGATTTTAAAAGCTAAAGCTAGAAAGCAGCACTTCATTCTTTTTTCTAAATGGTGTCATGTCCAATGGGAATGCACGACGATCCATACCCATCCATCCCAACCATTCCCGATCAGTTCACAAGCAACTTGGATTAAATTGAAAGTGAAAAGGCTGCAAGTAAAAGGAGGAGATCCTCTGTCTTTGTTCTCGTTTCTCTGCCACGTTCAAGCGGCCAGGTACAATCCTGAACTTGTGTGGGTAATTCTTTACAGTATGGACACACGCCTGAGACTAAGTACCCAACTCCATGTCAAAAAATTTATTCATCAGTATAAGTTGCTATGAAGGGCACTGCCTAGGGGGAGGGTTGATGCAGGGCTCTGTCCCCCAACACTACCAGGGAAACATTGTCTTCACCTTGGTATGCACGGCAAGATAAAAGCTGAAACGCAGGAGCACCGAATGAACTTAGGCCAGAGCAGCTTTCTGCAATCTTTTTTTTTTTGTGGCATTAGTGTTGTGTCTGCTTATTTTCTTGTAGTAACCACTGCAATTTTTGTCCTGTACAAGAATACCATCCCCATCAGCATATGGTTAAGGTTTCATTGAGCTATCAGCTTCATGTGCTGTGTATTGTGAAAGCTATTGTTATTAAATAGATCTACTAAAAGAATACTTTCAGTTAATTTTTGGTCCTGATCGTAAAAATTGTTAAATTTGTAGTTTAGAATTTTATCTGCCCAAAATGAGGATAATGGCTTACAGATTAACATCACATATTCTCCTATGATGGATTTATACCCTGAGTATTATCCAGACACTGTATCCAGTTGAACTGTAATCCATTTATATATCCTTCCACATCATTTCTCCCAAACTTCTCCCATATTTATCCAGCAATTATATTTTCATAAGTGTTTCTCAGTAGGGCTATATTTTTATTAGGGTATGGAGGTTGCCTCTTCTTAAAAAGTATGATTGCTTGTCTTCTAAAGGTAGCATAATCATGGTGAAAAAAGTAATGTATGGATAAGTGAGAGTATGTCTGTATGTGAAACATTATGTTAAAACTCTGGTCAGAAAGTTGATATTTTAGAATATATTTTTTTGATGATTTACACTGACAAAGAAGATTGGTCTGTGTTTCCTATGTATGAAATAGTTTGTAGCTATGTAGACAGTTCAGAATAGGCTATCTAGGGTTCATAAAAGGAGAGCTGACAGGAAATCAGTGATAAGGGAAAGCTGGCAGGAAATCAATATTAAAGATAAGATATCTTGAAGAAAACTTTTTTTTTTCAAATCAGTTGTATATATTTGCTGTAAATGATGTTTTGGAGATTGTGTATGCATGCATATCTGAAGTCTCAGTAAATGGACATTTGTATTTAGGTACAGTTATCTCAGAAAAGTTCTCAGCCCAAATCACTCCCCAGTTTACCTATTGATGACAGGTGATGTCATATTCTGGCAGATAATCACGGGATTGTGCAAGTTGGACAGATACTCAGGAGTGGTATTAACTAAGGAATGCTCTTCCTCTCCTAGTTGTACCTTCGATTTTCCTAATCATTGTTGGGTTAAAATGGGAATGTCTACTATTACGACGGCTTGGATATGTACTCCCCACTACTCTTGTGTGGCAGTTCAGTAAGAATGCCTGTCTAAGAGAATGAGGGTAGAGAAGCCTTTTGAGGCGGCTGTACAGGAATGGAAAAATTCGTTCAATAGAGGAGTTAGCTAATTAAATCTCGTTTTGTTATTTGCTTCTTTACTTGTTTGTTTATTTATTTATTTATTTATTTATTTGTTTATTTTTCATTCCTTTTGATTTTTGTTTACCTAAGAACTGGAAAACCCTTCAGATGACCTGTCCTTTGATATTATTTTATTATTTAGTATTTTGAAAAGCTTGATATTTCACATAAGAATTTGTATATTTCATTTCATATCTCAGATACAAGTGTAATCAAAAAGCAAAGTTGAAGAAGTTGTCATTCATGTAACTATGCAAAAGAGAAAGAATCAAAATCAAATATATATATATATATATATATATATATATATATATAATATAATAATTATATATATATATGTATATGTATGTTTAACAATGAAATATATATTTTTAAGTCCTCAAAAGTATAGATATGAAGTATTTACACGTTTGAGTAATAAAAAGACATTATACCAAAAGTTATCCCTGTGATGCATAATAGTAAAGTGTGGAGAGGGGTGTAAGGAAGAAAACACCTTGCAAAACAGTAACAGATATATTAGAGGACATTACATACATCTCATTCATAGTAAGACAGTATTGGGGGAAAATCTCACCAGTTTTTGACATTTAGCAAATAGCACTTACAGAATTGGATTTTTTTTCATTTATATATATATATATATATATATATTATATATATATATATATATATATATATATATATAAGTTTGCTTTGATATTAAAAAGTAATTTTGGAGATTGAATGTCTTAGTTGATTAACCCATTTCACTAAAATCAAGTGTTTGGAAACATTTGTACAGTAGGAAAAGTGGTTTGAGGGTAATATTTCTTCTTTACCAAGATATAGGAAATGCCATTCCCAAGTGGCATTTCCTTATCTTGGTAAGTTTTATAAAGAAGCAAATTATGTTATTCTGCTCGTTTTGTGTTTTGTTTGATTTTTTTTTGCAATGTCTCTTCTTTCATCTGAAGTTTGGAAGGAGTATAGCTTGTAACATAAGAGAGACTGTGAATGTGATCTGTTCATCTTTAATGTCAGCCAGGATGCACTCTGTTGACTGTCTTTAATATACTTTAACTTGAACATGTACTCTATAGACACAGGTATTTCTTTCTTTTAAGAAGGTGGATATCATTTTTTTATTAAGATTTAGTATGTTGTTAATGCAATATTGTAAGTGTTCTCTAGAAATACTTGGAGTTTGATAAACAGTTATTAGTGTTTTAGGTTTGACAGGTCTTATGCTTGGTTCTAATACCTAGGTTTTACAGGCCATTTACTTGGGTCTGATACTTAGTTCTGGGTATAACACTTAGGTCTGATACTCAGGTCTTAGTATTGCATGATATCCAGCCATTCAAATAACTTCATGGAGTTAAATATGTCAGTTTTAAGGTCACAGTTTAATCCTTGTAGGTATGATGACAACAATGAGTGTGGAAGCATGAGGGGATGTTTGTTATTGTGTCTATTCCAAATTTTGAAGTACTTTTAGTTGTCAGAAATTTAGTCTGGTCTATGATAATTGCTATTTCTTTTTTTTTAAAGATTTTAGAATTGTGTTGCATAGAGCAATTTTAAACTAAAGATTCTGAGGAAGGCTGGCACATGGGAAGTCCAGTTGTAGAAGATAATTTACTTTTTTATCAAGACTTCCTGTGAATTTAATTCATGTCAGTCCCCCAGTTACTCATGTAAATGTTGCTTTTTTCATTCTTTCTTAGATTGGCAAAAAGGGAAAATTGATGAACTTTCTTATAGGTGTATACTATAGGATCCAAGCATATTTCAGTCATATGGAAAAAAATTGTAGCAGATGATTTGACAACTTGATGCTAGATATGTTTTACTTGGCATTATGCAGAAGTAAATCTATAGTTTTTAATATTTAGCAAGAAAGTAGTAGATGATTCTGACACCTTTGATGTAGATATTAATATAATCTTGTTGTGTAGAAAAAATATGAGTAAGACAGAATATGTTTACGGAGATTTATTTGACTGATTATATGTTTGTATTTCTGACAAGGATATAGTTAAAATCTGTCAAATACATATCTTATGTTGTGAAGGTATTCATACTTTTTTCTACATTTGTTGCATAAAGAGGCTTTATTTGATGGGGCACTATTGTTGATTTCAATTTGTATTACCATTACAGTTTTTATGTTTGTATGCACAATTAGGTTCATCTCAGAGAAGTAAAACAGTGTTTCTAGAGTGCAGGGAGTTGTTTTTCATTAGATATCTTTTCCTTCACAGTAAGGCTGCAACAGTATAAAAGTAATAAGCAAAATAATGGGTTCAAGAAAGATGATTGCTTTCCTAAAGAGTATAGGTGCTACAGGAGAACCTATAAAGAGACTGGTTTACCCAAGTAGTATTGATCTACCAGAGAGTATAAAGGAAGTAAATAGAATTTTGTTTATTTAAGTGATTAGTTGTTTTGAGACGATAGCTATTAATAACAGTTGGGTGCCAGGTAAACCAACAGGTCTAATGACCACCTATTATTAGGATTAGTGCACATGTTGAGGTAAATAAGTGACTCTTCATTAAAGCTTCCTCTTTAAAATTTAAGGGAATTTGAATACATATTTACTCTTCAAGATCAAATAATTTGAATCTAAGATGACATTCTGTTTAGATCTTCTGATAAAAGGTTGCCATAAGGGTTGTTTCAGTGTCAATTTGATGTATTGTCTATTTTGATAAAAGAATTTTATTTCAGGGACTACTTTTACGATATGATTATTGTATAACTTCAAGATATTTTTCTCTTGAAGCCTGATAAGTTTGTGAAAATTAATGTAGATGAAAAAAGTTAATGTTTCATAAGTTTCTATTTCTTGCATATTACTTACAACTCTACAGTATTAATGAACAAAGCACTGCAGTTCCTCTTTTGGTATTCTCTTTCGTTATTTATGATAAGCTTTCTTTCTCCGTGGTAGGATTCATATTAATAGATTGATGTAACCCACAGCACTCCTCAGAGGAAAGCCAGCACTGGGGCTACAGGTAGCTTTGGAAATATGTCCTTAGAATCCCTTCTAAAGTGCATACAAGAACTGGACATGGATGACACACAACGCAGACGGATGGAAATATTCCTCGTCCAGAAACAGCAGGTCAGCTACCTCTCTGCCGTTGTCTTGGTTCCTCAGAAGGAGAGCAGTGTTTTATCTTAAATGCTGTCTTTATTTGGTTAACCAAAGAAACGCTGAGGGCATCATGTATACTGATGGACTTCCCTCGTTATTTCTTTTTCTTTGAGCATTTTCAAGTCCTCATCTGCTCGTTTTTGTACTTACACCTTGATTGCGCAGATCAGTTTTATGTTACCTTTATTTCTTCAGGATTGTATATATTTCTCATGTTTGAAGATGACATTTAGGCATTTTCCTTTATCCCCATAAATTGTCTCAGCTGTCTTTAGTTTTGTGCTTATTATAGTTACACACATTCTCAACCTTATTTTCTTTGTTGTTGAACATGATATAGCATTCTGTGATTTCAGTGATGCCTCTTTATGTCTTGTTTTATTTGTATTACCTTGCTTTATGTATTATTTTCATTTTTATGCCTGCAATAAACAGCTGCCATTCCTCTATTTCTTGTCAGATTGGTGAACTGAATGCAGATGATTTTGAGAAACTTGGTGAGCTTGGAGCTGGAAACGGAGGCGTAGTCAACAAAGAAAAGCACAAACCCACAGGATTGTCAATGGCTCGTAAGGTAGGGTGTGGTTTGATGTGTTCTTTCCTTCTTTCTTCCTTTCATCTCTTTATTTCCTTCCTCTTTGAATCAGTGATTAGAGCAAATATTGATTATTTTATGATGTGCAGTAATCTTTTATTTCCCCCTTTGTAATGCTGAAGTTGATACTGAACTGTTCTGTAAAGGTAGAAATATTTAGATTCAAATCCTAGCTTTTATTTTTCAGCTTATACATTTAGAAGTGAAGCCAGCTGTTAGAAACCAGATAATTCGTGAATTGAAAGTACTTCATGAGTGTAACTCTCCATTTATTGTTGGGTTCTATGGAGCATTTTACAGGTAAGTAATCCGGCAAAAATTAACGTTATAAAGAGAATGAAGTAATGAAACCTATTTACTTGTTGTTAAATGATTTTAGTCTTTAATTTTGTTAGTTGCTGTCACACTACTTGATTCTTGATATGGTCTCTGAGCCTACTCCTACCAAGCTAGCCTGCATCCAGCATTAGTTGTAAAATACGAACAGCATTATGGAATGTAGTAACAATTCCCGTGTTTTCTTTGTAGCTTAATTTCATTTACATGTTTGAGTGTTTTTTGTCATATCAGCAACAGACTTTTTATAGTTCAAAACATAGAGGAAATAGAAAAGACTTTATTCTGTTTTTTGATTGATGCTCATCCACTCTTGCTTACTATTTATCCAGGAAAACAATTACATTGTGTTATTGAGATTATAATGATCATTATTAAAAGTATTAGGAAACTGCAGTGTGTTAAGAGAATACATTGGAGTATACATTTTGCCCTAATTTATGTGAATTTATTTACTCTTTCAGTGAAGGTGAAATTTCAATTTGTATGGAGTATATGGATGGTGGGTCACTTGATCTGTGCTTGAAGAAAGCTATACGCATCCCAGAGCCAATCTTAGGGAAAATATGTTCAACAGTAAGTTAAAACGTGACTGTTGTTGCATCCAATGTAAGTGTTCATTCATTAGTTATAATGTGTTCACACTGAACCTAATCATATTTAATTATATGTTATGTAGAATTAACATATTCCACAATGATTGTTTAATAAAGTTAGCATACTAATGTATAAGAGTGTAGACCAAATATGTAAACCTGAATTATCTGCAGGAGATATTTTGGCAGTGCTGTACAGAAATAATGTAAACTTCTCCATTACCAGGTCCTTAAGGGTTTAGCATATCTTCGAGAAAAACACCAGATAATCCATAGAGACGTAAAGCCCTCCAATATTTTGGTCAATTCCCGTGGGGAGATTAAGATTTGTGACTTTGGTGTGTCAGGACAACTTATTGATAGTATGGCCAACACCTTTGTGGGAACTAGAAGCTATATGTCGGTAAGTTGCATGAGAAGTGCTATACATGTGATTTTCCATGTGCAAGTGGTTATATTTAAATATATACTAAAGATACTTTCTTCCTTATTTACATGTTTTAAGCACTTTAAACCTTTCCTTTTGTCAGCCAGAACGATTAAACGGTGACCACTACTCCGTTGCCAGCGATATTTGGAGTTTAGGGTTGTCTCTTGTAGAAATGGCTATTGGAATGTATCCCATCCCGCCACCAGACCCTGCCACTCTACAGAAAATCTTTGGACAGAAGGTCGAGGGAGTGAGTCCGTCTCCAACTTCAAGGTCACCGAGGTCGGGTAAGTTGCGGTAACTGGTTTCCCCGAAGACCCGTAAGTGGGACGTAATGGTGGGTTTTATAGGTGCATACAATGTAGATGGTAACAGGTGTTTTGAAGACTTTTTGTATTGCACTTGTGAAGATAGTCTTTGGATAGCAAAGTGTGGGTATTGGATTGTGAGAAGTAACGGAGAGGTTTATAAAGTTAAGGAAGGTCAGAATTGTTCTGATCTTTTTTAATCTTATTACCGTGTTTTACCTGAAATTATGTACTTTAATTAGGTTGTATATGTAATTGTAATAGTGTAGTTACATATCTTTTATGAATGATTATTGGTCTACCCTTCAGTTAATATTGTTGCAAACTATAAATCTATTCTATTACCTTATACTGTCTAGCTGGACTGCCAGGAGAACCACGACCGATGGCAATATTCGAGCTGCTGGACTACATTGTGAACGAACCGCCTCCGCGTCTGCCACCTGGAGTATTTTCTCCAGAATTCGTAGACTTGGTCGATCGATGCCTTAAAAAGAGCCCCAATGAGAGAGCAGATCTTACCACTTTGCAGGTATCGTGTTTCTCTTTTGTACATGACAGCTTTGTTCATTTTGATTTGATAATGACTCCCAAGAAAGCTATATTTATAAATGTTGTAAACTAATTTTGTTCCATATATACATCCTTCACTGATGACTTGCAGAATCATGAATGGATAAAGCGTGCAGAAAGAGAAAATGTTGATATAGCTGGCTGGGTGTGCAAGACAATGGACATCACGCCTTCTACTCCGACTAAGCCATCAGCTGAGGGCAATAGTTAAAAAGTTATGGTTAGTATACTTTTATTGTTTACTGATATGTTTAGTTTGTTTGATTTTATTGTTAACTGATGTTATGTTTTTTTTTTTTTTTTTTCAGTATATTCTTACTCAATCGGTTTTCCTTTCCTTCTATATTTGCCAACAGTAGAAAATAATGATTTCGTCAATCCACAGAAGAGTGCTACACATATTCTGCTGGCTGGAGGAGCACCAGAACGACCTTAAACCCTTTTACTCTATGTGATGTATAAATCATAATTTAATCGTTCCAAATGGATAATAGTGTTGTTTATTGTATGTCCAAATTAATGTGCAACTAGTCCCGGTGACTTGCTATTTTTGGGCTGAAGACCACATCATTCTTGAGTAGTGATAAAGAAACTGTCATTCATAAGAGTGAAGTAAACTGTATATTATTGCTTATTAGCAATGACAGAAACTATAGTGTTTGAAAGTAGTGATGGAGGAAATTCAGATATATATTTTATGATTGTATTGTATATCATCTGAAGTTCAAGAAAAACTTGCATGAGAGTTTTTAGAGTACACAGATATTGTGTTCAAGATAGCACAAGAACAAGTTTATACAAAAGATTACCATTTTGTAGAAACCATAGTGTATCTTCCTTATTACGAGTAGGAGTAAGTAGTTAATTTAAAATATCAAAGGTTAAGTTAGGGAAAATTTTATACCACTGGTTGGTTCTCCCAGACTTGTTAGTTCACAGACTTTATTGTAGGTATATGAAATAGGTCTTGGCTTAATACTCACTGAATGTTTAGACCTCTTTAACATGAGAGAGACGGTCCATGAGCTTGTAAAGACTGAATTAGGAAGTGTGATATGGTCAAACCCGAGTGTTTGAATAGTTAGGTTTAAAAAGAAGCTTTAAGTATAGACAGAGTCAATATGTTGATCACTTACTGAACTAACAGACTTCACTACTCAAGATATGCCTTGGAAATCAGACCAATTACCTTGTGCAATCCATTTTATGCTGTATATTGTAGAGTAATGTGGGAATGTTGGATGCATTGATGTCAGAGTTTATGCATCTCATTCACAATGTTTCTCTTTTATGGGATAGTGTTTTCAATTTAAACTCTGCAGAGTGGTTGTGCAGGACAATTATTATTTCTGTCGTCTATGGTCTCCTCTAGGAAATTGTTGGCATGACCAAGGAGTCCATCTGATAATTTTATTGAGTCATATAGAGGCTTTGAAAGACTTTTTTTTTCTGAAATATTCGCAAATGGTGAAATATGCATTTATTAATTGTATAATTCTGTTGATTTCATAATACATTGTGGGTCTAATTAATTGCCATTGAATAGGGTTTCATTAGGGCAACAATTTTCATTACTGCATGCACAGGATACTGAAGTCCGTATTGAGAAGGATCAAGTTTGGCTTCCAAATATACCAAAGTTTATATTTTAGTCAAAAATGTAAATAATAAGGTGAAATGCTTTTTTTTTTTTTGCAGTATACAGTTTTCTAGTTCCATAGCAATTACATGCCAAGATATTAGGTAGAATCATGCATTCCTTGCTGTGCATATATTGAATTAATAATTTTGACAACAATAAGAACTCTATCAATTCATATTGTCAGATTATGCAATTCATACTGGCTGTCATTATTATAATCCATATACCAGTTCATAGATTTGAAAACGTCATTTATTATCTGTAAATTTTGATAACAGACTGAATCATTTTTTATTTTTTTATGTTACTGATACTGAAAATACTGAAAAAAAAAAATATTGTAACTGAAAATTGCTAGGTCAAACATGAGCATATGTCCTAGGGGTAAATGGAACATTCGACGATTAACGGTAATTTAGATATTGGAAGAGGGTGCATCGAGACGAGCAAAAGAGGTTGGACATAATGGAAACTGGAAACCATTGTTGAGTGTATCAAGAACAAGAAACAGTCACTGGGTGTTTAGTAATAGAGTCTTTTGTTACCTAATAGGTGTTAACTTATGTTATAAGAATCAGCAAAAAATAAATAAAAATAATAAAAAAAACATTAAAAAATAAAAAAGTAAGATTCAAAACTGTATTTATAAATTAACAATAAATTCAAATCACAAATCTGTGATATTCTCACTGTTTCTTAATATTTTGATACCCTGGTGCAGTTTGCCAAAATGGAAGCTTAACCTTGATATCCTTAAATTAACCCTTTTGGCAATTTCTTCAGGTACGGTAATTCGTGTTTATGCATTATAACAAGACAAAGGTTCATCCAAATTTTTAACATGCACTAAAAAGTTGTCTTGAATACTGTAACAGCTTGCATTTGGAGCTGCCTAGGTAAAAAGCTAGCATTTAATGTATTCATATATTTTGCAATTTTAGAATATGTAAAATTATTTGTGCATGTTCCAAAGGGCATACAAAACTACTCAGAAAATGAGGTTACTATTTGTATGAAGTTTATTAAAGTCTGTGATTGA